TCCATCTCTGTTCTTACCTTTGGAAATTGTTACCTGCAAACTGCCCTCTTTCTTCTCATCAGCCTTAATCCTCTCTGCTCCAATGTATACCCGTCCCTTATCTCTCACCTGGGCAACAACCAAAGGCAATGCATCCTCCACCTTGGGCGCCTCTGACTGGAACCTCCAACCTGATCCTCTTCCATCACCATGAGAAAATTGCCCTTTCTTCCTTACTCCTCCAGTCGACTACATTCACCCTCTTCTCTGTCATTGTCCTTCTAGCTGGAGCTAATTTTGACTCCTTTTCTGACTCCATGGAAATGCACGTGATCTTTCTTTCTTCCTGATTCTCAGACTTGGGCTTTGCTTCCTTCCTTGAGTTGACGGCCTCCATTGCCATTTGAATCTAACCCTACTCCCACTGACTCATTTCCCTTTTCCAACCACAAAAAATTTCTTCATCGGCCCACCAGAAGTACCGACCATCCCATGTGGGGTAACATTGAGCTTCCTCAATCGAGGCCCAACCTTTTGAGTAAACCAGCTAAAATGACGCAACCTTGTTGCGTTTTGAAATTTGAATTTCACTCGACCTTCCCTAGATTCAGATTTTGTCTTCCCTACTCGCCTCACCTCTCCTCCTTCCTTCGCTAGATCAGCAAACTGCTTCTCCACTCTGAGCAACAGTTAGGGAGCATTTTGGATTACCTGTGGGAACCATAGGATTGGTTTCAACTCCCTTCTTCAAACTCTTCAGAATTTAATCCCATGGAGCTCTAGAAGTTCTTTCCATCACTACATTCATTACCATTATCATCCTCCACCATCCACACGTTTAAGGACCTTCAGGAATGTATACTCTTCTTCGAGCATCCCCTTTTTCTTTGTGAAAATGAGAAACTTCCCACCCTCATTGTCTCCCATGGCCACCCACAGAATATGTTGTTTCCCCACTATGCTGTGCAGCCAAAATCCCTTCCTTCCTGTAAAACTCATGCGATGCTCTAAGCAACTGTTCCAGCTCCTCATCCCAAAACAAGATTGACATACAATAGCCTATCCCATTTTTGCTCACCTTCTAATCATCACCTTTCCAACCAATAATTCCGATGTGAAAAGATTTCCTTTTAATTACCAGGAACCTTCTGGTTGGAGAAGGCACCATAGCCTTCTCACACCCCAATCACTTGCCACAAGCAAGAAGTGCTTGCTGAACGTTCTTCCAACCTGTTTATCTTTTTGCTTTGATTGAATTTTTTTGTTGAGAGAGCGAGTTAATGAGAGTTTGGCCTGTTGGCATGTGCCCTTTTTACTCTTAACGATGCTAACGGTTAGGTGTTAACAATTTACAGGTTTGTGGAAGCTGATAGTTGGGGCACCTAATGTGGAGACTTTGGTGAAGAAACCTGATCTTCTGTCATTTTATATTGCCAGTAAAATTCCGGTATCTGAAAGAACAAGGCAGGAACTTCTGGACATTGATGGAGTTTCATATAGATTGAAGCGGGAAATTGAGTTGCTTGAGAGTTTTGATTGTATTCGATGTAAAATCTGTAAGGTTAAAATGTACTTCCTTAAGTCAGTTTGTTTCCGTCCATTTTTTTTACAATATTGATACTAATAATGATTTTATTATTTTATTATTTTGTGTTTACTTTATGCAGACTGTTTTATTTTTTGAAATAAATACTTTTTGCAGACTGTTATTGCAAAGAGGAGTGATATGATGGTGATGTCTAGTGAAGGTCCTCTTGGTGCTTATGTGAATGCGCACGGTTTTGTGCATGAGATAGTGACTCTTCAAAAGGCAAAAGGCATAGCCCTTTTGGGTAGACCAAGTAAAGAATATAGTTGGTTTCCTGGGTATGGGCTTAACCTATGACTCTTTCATAGACTTTATGAAGCTTCTATTTTTTCTCTGAAGACAGTTTCATTTAATTACCTCGATTTCTGTCATTTAATATATTGTTGGTATTAATAACTGAGGTCTTAAGCGAGTTTTAGATGCAAAATAGGATAGCTATAGATTGCCTAAATAGATTAGAAATCAGAATCAAATATGAGATATCTACTAATTAGAAATCTGTTATATAGTTTGATTTATTCTTTCTAGCATCTAGTTTTCCTATTTTTGTTAGTAGCATTTTCTACTTTATTAAGAATAGTTATTCCTAATCTTATTATTATTAGTTTCCTATCTTATTAGGAGTAGTATTTTCAATATTATTTGTTTTAGTATTTCTATAGGTTTATCCTGTTTGGTGAAGGTTACTTAAAAAACATTATAGATATCTTTGTAATTTCATTTTTTGAAACAGAATTCAATTATTTAATGAAATACTTTGAAAGCGTCTTACTTTTCTGGTTGTTTGTACCAATAAAACTCTTAAATGATGCTTAAACTTTTTAGATGTGATGCCTAAGAAATCCTAGGTGTTATTTAGATTTAGCTGAATTTGAAGTAGGCAAAATAACCGCAGTTGGAGGCTTGTAGGATTTTTAAGCCCCAAAGAATTTGAGGAAAACAGATTGAATTGTATTGCTGTGAGATAGCAGAACCTCTAATCCAATAAACCTGACACAACTACGCTGAACTAGCCAAATGAAATGAAGCACGTGAAACTCAAATCTAAAATTAATTGATGTCGAAGTAATCCAGGTTTGTAGAGAATATCAAACCCAATTAATTTGATGCTTTTTTTAAAAAAAAAAAATTTGATAAACTAAATTGCCTACTGTTCTAGCTAGGCAAATATGGAAGTTCACTGAAATTAAATATCCTGAACTAAAATTACTTGAAATCTGAAATAAGTCAAAATATGCAAGGAAAACCACAATGTTTTATTCCCATTTAAAACAGATATAACTGAATTAGATCGTCATGAGCCTTGGACATTAGCTTCGACGAGTTGGCGAGGTAGGTACAAGAGATAGAAATAGAGAGAGAGATAGGTTGGGAAGAGAGAGAATTGATGTGTAGATATCAAACTCCACAACAGCTGTCACTTTGTTAGAAAATAAAGAGATAGAACCTGTTGGAGTGAGAAACAGCTCTACCTTGTTTTCTTGAGAGAAGATTTTGAGAATCCTCAAGATCCTTCACCTAAAGAGAGTTCTACAGAAGTTCAATGCTTGGAGGAACTAAACCAACAATTGAACCTTTGGAGATTCATAATTGATTTTCTTTTACCTATGGTGTTTTATGCTCCTAACCAATTATTTTTCTTCATTGTTTTTGCCTCTAGTGAGAATGAGCAAGTGCAAATTTTTAGCAAAATTTTCTTGGAAAGCTCCAAAATCTTGTTATTGGATACTTCGACACTTCTAAACTTGATTGGAGAAAATGGAGGATGATGGAGAATGAATTTGGGTTAGACCTTCTAAATAGATTAGTTGTTTTTACTTATCTACAAATTATTGTCAGGTATGGCCAAAATTAGGACTTTTAGTATTATGATTTTATCTTGTTTAGGAATTTAATTTTTTAGCGTGTAATTTATGTTTTCCTTTATAGTAAATTTCCTAATCATGTAGTATTAATTTCCTAGTGTTGATTGGAGAAAATGGAGGATGATGGAGAATGAATTTGGGTTAGGTCTTCTAAATAGATTAGTTGTTTTTACTTATCTACAAATTATTTTCAGGTATGGCCAAAATTAATATGTCCTAGTCTAATCATATGTGCAGAATGTTACTTAGGAAGCACTGTCATGACCTTCATAATGTCACTTTTTAAAGTTGTTCAATTATTCAATGAACTGTTCTTGATATTTGCTTTTATTTTGGGTTTTGTAAGATAACCAAACTTTTTAAGAGTGACATTTGAAGACTTCTTCCGTGTGATATATGAAACTCTCAAGTGTTATATTTAGTTTTGTTCAGAAATTTCCTATTATCTTCACAAGTAGGAATATATATCTATTATTGCGAAATTGAAGATACAAGTTTGAGTTGCCTAATTAGGTATCAAATATGTAATTTATGATTAAATCCTATCATATTTATAATAACAGCTAGGAATTGAATGAGAATATGATAGACTTGGACTATATGCAACGTAATAGATTTAATTTTTAATGAACTTGTTATTCATTGTGACTTGGTTTGGCATCAAGTGGCCTGCCCTATTTTGAAATCTCTGAATTGAGTTTTACTTTTCTTGGATTTTTGGTAAATGGAGGTGATTAATAGCTGGCAGGGGAGAGCCTTCGAAAATGTCTGCATTGAATTTGACTCTTCTTGAGATTTGTGGTAGTTGGAGGTGATTAATAGATGATGGGAAGAGCTTTAAACGAGTAAAATAGAAGGTCACGTTGATAGTGAAATTGTTTGACAACAGTACTACCTTCAAATTTCAATATTTAAGTGATTGATTGAGAAGTTATTTAAAGAATTTACATATTGGTTTCATAAACTGTCAAAATGTTGTAATACTGCTTTTTTGTGAGTTTTGGGTTGGAGTAACAAGGGTCATGTTGGATTATAATTTGTGAATTTCCAATTTCAGGTATGCATGGACAATAGCAAATTGTGCAACTTGTGAAACACAATTGGGATGGCTTTTCACAGGCACAAAGAAGAATTTGAAGCCTGAAGAATTCTGGGCAATAAGAAGTTCCCAAGTTTCTGATGATATCCACTAAAATTGCCCGGTTTTCCTGCTGGCCAAGTTAATACTGTAATGATCCCTACTTTTATGTGTATGTACATATGACTGCTAAGAACTGGTACAGATTCTCCAATTATCTAAACGAACAGTTTGCTTATTCCCCCAAGTCCTCGACCACAAACTTGAGATTTGGAGCGCATATAAACCAAAGTGGCAGTATATTGGTGGAAGGGAGTTTGTGTAATTGAAAAATAGCCCTGTGAATGAGAAGTTGTAATTGAAACAAGAAAGTAAAAAGAACACCTCATTCGTTTATGCCATGATTTTGGGTCTTGAAATTATGGTGATAAAAATATGATTTGGAGGTAAGTTTCTTCATCTCAGAACTCATATGGACAAGGCAAGAAAAGCTTATGCAGAAATTTAGTTGGATGACAGCCTGTAATGTTGAAAAGAACATCCCAATTTTGCTAATAACAATCATGTATGTGTTATATTGTAGGGGGTGGGAAGGGAAGTTTTTATTTGCTTCACTTGGAAACAAGATGGTATGAATTGATGTTGGTGATGTGTGGACCCTGAAACATGCAACAAGGAGCTCAGGGAAGGCAAGTCCCGGAACGAGCATCACATGCTCGTTGTTGAAATTAGCAAATGCTTTGTTAATCTAGTCTAGGCAGAAGTTTTTCCATGGAATGTGGCTTCAAAAAGTACTCTTATTATTGTTATTATCATCTAAAGTGTGCATTAAGCTGAAGATTTCACAAATAATTGCAGTGTCAAGTGCCATTTTTCTTATTTAATTTCTTAATCCATTCTAGTTAATTTATTACACAGTGATTGATTGTTCTTTTATTATGTACTTTTTTTTAGTGACAGCATCCTGATCTGTTCTGTTACTCTTCTTACTCCCTAATCAACCTCTTCGCTTCAACCTCTCTCTCTCTACTGTTTTCCCGAACTTTCCCGGAAAAAATCTTCCCTTTCTTCTGACACTCGAGCCTCCCCCTATCTTGGTCCCTCAATCCCCGACAGCCCTTATCCTTCTCTTTCCCAGAAAATCCCTCTTGAGAACCCTTTCCTCTCGCACTTGGCCTACTTGTTCGTCACACACCGAACCCCAGGAAATCTTCCCTCAACCGTGCCTTTCCCCCCCTTTCACTCCGAAACACAACTCCCCTTTTAGTCACACTTCTATATCCCTCCTTGGACAAAATGCCAATACTCAGCAGAGAAAAAGAAATTAAGCTCCTTGCCCTTCTCGTCCTCTGAATTCTAGGCCTCTGGAAGCATCAAACAGTCTCCATCGAATTTCTCTTCTTCCCTCTTCGGCACCATGCCAACCAAATGAGTCCAAAACACAGCTTTTCAACCCTTCCTTTTTCGACAATATCCTCGAGCGTCAAACCATCGTAACTCGTCACGCTTTCTGATAGTTGAAAGTTTCGAGAATAGGAAACCCCAATAGCGAGCTAACACAGCCCCTTCCCCACCAACCATATGCCCTCTGCTTTTCTCATTCTCGTCAGGGTAACATCAAAAGCAATCTCTCTGTCATCGTCTCCCAGCTTTTCCCCTTTCTCTTCTGTCTCTTTGTTGTTTTGGGTGTTTTAAGGCAGGTGGGTTAAGGCCTTTTCTCTGTTTCTGGATGGCTAACATATTGGAAAAGGCTAAATGAGGAAATTGGATCTCTCTTTCTTATTTAATTTTGGGCTCCCATCTTTCTTTTCATTTTTACACTTTTTTTTTAATTGGCTTTATATTTTTCTTTCCTCTCTATTTTGATTTTTTCTTTCCCTCTTTTTCTCTTTCTTCTTCCCTTTTTTTTTTTCCCTTAAAAAAAAAATCTCACCTACTAATAATAATAATAATAACAATAAATTTTAATTTTTAAAAAATAAAATAAAAATATTACAATTCCCGAATTGACTAAACTGATTAAACAGTTCAATCGAAACCATTCTCCTCAAAAATCTCGGTTTGAACCAGTTTAATAATAAAACATTTCTTTCTAATTTGATTTTTTTTTTAATTTTCTCTTTAATTAACTAATTTATATATAATTTTAGTTTTCTATCTTTTAATTTAATAAAATGCTAAATCTCTACTCTGCAAGTAGATGCTTACAATTTATACGATTATGGGTAACGCCACCGTTAGAAAAGGATTCATGTGAAAGATGCCAAATCTATAGATTGAATGGAAAAGGAGAATTCTCTACTCTTGCAAGTTATATATATATACATATGTATGTGAATATATAAATATTGCACATTGGTATTTGCTCCTTAACACGCTACTTCTCTTTATTAAATGCTGAAAACGCATTGCAGAACTGAGAACAAAAACAACTATGCATACTGCAACAATCTCAGAATACATGTATACTACACTAAATGCTCAAAAGAATGTGCTGAATAGAAGAACTCCCGACAACGAAATCATCATCACTTGCAAAACAAGAAACCTAAGAGCAAGATAATTGACTAAGATTGCAAAATGCAGAAGATCGTGCTCGGGTTCAGCGATAGTTCCTGTACACTGGACTGTACATGCAGCTCTCGGCATACTTGACAAGATTCTCGGGTCGAGGAAGATGCGAAGCTAGACCTGCAAAAAAAAAATAAATCCTATTGAACGATACAGAAGTAAGAGTCTGATTGCTTGCATTGTGCACTTGGCAGAACAGCACTCACCAAGTTCATATGCCTTTGCGGCAACTTTAGCGGCGATATGGGCTGATATCTTTCTGATGTTGGAGAATGGTGGGTAAATCAATCCCTTTTCAAAATTTTCCTCGGTAACTTGGGCAGCCAAAGCCTCCGCTGTGTCCATGACAGAAATTTCCCAAGAAATTAAATTCTAAATTTTTACTTTACTAGGTATGAGGTTAGAACATAATGAATTATAAAATAACATAATATATTAATTTCGAACTCATTAACCACTATTCCTGGTATACTTACAGGCTGCCAAAAGCATATCATCGTGCACACGAATTGCACCAGAGATTATCAAACCCAAACCAAAGCCAGGGAATATGTAAGCATTGTTTGCCTGAATGGAAATTTAAGGAGAATCAAGGCATAGTTAATGTAAAGTTAATTACGCTAATGCCTCAAAAAGAATGTTCTAGGAATATGAACCTGGCCGGGCGCAAAAACTTTCCCATTGTACTCAACAGGATCGAATGGGCTTCCACTAGCGTAGATTGCTTTGCCCTGCCATTTTGAAAAAGGAAGAGAGGATGCAAAAATGATTAGAAAGGATCTTCGCCATACTTTGAAGCCAATCTGATTTCAAGTAGTAGGTTTGAACCAAAAAACCTATAAATGGGTACCTCACTCCATGTGTATGCTTGTTCTGCTGTGCATTCAGATTGAGAGGTAGGATTTGATAGAGCAAGAATAAGAGGTTTCTGCACTCAAATCATCGATGTTAAAGTCAAACCCTTCCGATAAAATAGTATTCGTAACAGGAGAAAGAGAAAGAGATAGAAAGAGAACTCATTGAAGCTTGTCATGGCTTCAACAACTTCCTTTGTGAATGTTTTTCCCACTCCAGATGATCCTATCAGAACTGTTGGCTTGATGGCCTGATTAAAAAAAAGATGAAAAATAAACAGCTTTACAAGGAAATGGAAGTAACAAAAATACTATCAGCATTTCCACTGTTCATATTCACACTCTTGCTATCACTTATCGTGAGAGTTCAAAAAAAAATTGTGTTGAAATGCGAATATAAATGGATGGAATCCTCTAAATTACGTAATGTGAACGTAATTTTCACACCTTGACAGCATCTAAAAGTGTCTTGACAGGTTCATGCTCATGTGCCCAAGGCTTCTTAAAGTGTTGAAGGGATCCCTTACGGGAGTCGACAATCAGTCCCTGCCACAAAATCAATTATAGCGGTTTAGAAAAGAGAAAAAGCAATAGCATTACAGAGACACAGTAGGAGACATGGCACAAGCATGTGAAACACATACAGACAGAGGGAAAGTGAGAGAAGCTAGGAAGCTTTCAGTAGATATTACCTTTGAGTCCACAAGCCAAATCTTCTTGCGGGTCTCTTCAATTGGAGCATTTGTCTGCCATTAAATTAGAGCAACAGTTAATTATAATGAATTACTGAAAAGAATAAAAAGAAAAAGAGTTGAGGTAAGTGATGATTCAATACCTCCTTTGATATCTGAAGAGCTATAAGCTCAGCTATACCAGTTCCAGCCTTCAAAACCAAAGGACAGAATATTTAAGACATAAAATACAAACAAGAAGCTACATACCATTATACACATGGGAATAACAAAGGTCATCCTTAAAAGGGGGATAAACATGTCCTGTAAAGATTTTATTTTAATATGGCAAAGGACATAAGGATCAAGCCCTACCTCACCAGCACCCAAGAATAAGAAAGTATGATCTGCTAGGGCTCCACCAACCAGCTTTAGAGCTGCGATAAGCCCAGCCAGTACCACAGACGCAGTACCCTGAAATGAACAAAGAAGAGTTCATCATTAGAAAATTGCTTCTTAACATGCAATTTCTAAACTTCAGTGGGGATGATGGAAAGAGCTTTGACAACATGTTACCTGTATATCATCATTGAAAACGAGATGAGAGGAGCTGTATTTGGCCAGCAGCTCAAACGCGTTGTGGTTTGCAAAATCTTCAAACTAGAAAAACATGTATATTTCTTTAGAAAATAAAGATTGTGAAAACATTTGGTCTATTAATTTTTTATGACAACAAAACTGTGGACCAACCTGTATTAAGACCTTCTCTCCGTAGCTCTGCTTAACGGCAGTCATGAACTCCTGTAGCAGTTCAGCATATTCCTAAACAACAGAAGCAAAAACTTCTTAAATATTTCATAAGATTGAGACATAAACTTTTGTTTTTTGAAATAAAAGTGAAGATTGAGACATAAACTTAAGTAGTGACAAATAAAAAATTTATGATGCCGCAGGAAAAGGGAATTGAAGAAAGACCAAAGAAATGCATCTGACCTGCCCAGTTGCCCTTCTTTGTTTAAGCCCAATGTAGAACTCATCATTCAACAACTTCTCGTTGTTTGTGCCAACATCAATGGTAACAGGCAAGCACTGAAAATAGTCAAATGCAAGTAGTGAAATGAGTTGAATATAACCTGTTATCTTACTGATTGAAGACCATAAATATTTACAATGTGTTTGAATAACTCAGAGGAGTCGGTCACATTAGAAAGACAAAGAAGGACTTCTTTTTTTTTTTTTTTAATAGATAAAGACAAACAATGACATTAAGTAATGTAAAATTATAATATTCCTTGTGATTAATTTTTCTTAGCACAAAGTTGCTTTCCTGTGACAAATCTTACTCCCAGCACTAATTACTAATGAAAAAATAAAGGAAAAATTAAAAATCAATCAGTCAATGAAAATTAACAGATGAAGAGTAATGCTAACCGCTGAAGGACGAATTCCACCTAGAGCTGTATAGAGGGAAAGTTTCCCAACAGGAATCCCCATTCCCTGCAAGATTTTAACATTTTCATTTAACATGTCTTAGCGCCAAGAGGAGCCCAAACATGAGGCAGACAAATATTATTACCTGGCAGCCAAGATCTCCAAGTCCCAAAATTCGTTCACCATCAGTAACAACGATGACTTGAACACTTCTCTCTGGCCAGTTTTTCAATACTTCAAGGATTTTCCCCCTAAAAGATCCCACCAGTCAGCATCCCCTTGAAACTAGGAAACGAAGAACTTTGAAAATATAAACAGAATGGTACAAGTGAATATACTTTTCTTTCAAACTAATGTAGAGACCCTGAGGGCGCCTGAAAATGCTCCCATATTTCTGGCAAGCCTCCCCAACTGTTGGAGTGTACACAACTGGGAGCAGCTCCTCAACATTATCAATAAGAAGCTTGTAAAACAGCCTTTCATTTCTCTCCTGCAAAGTCCAAAACAGTGGAGCTACATTCAGTAAATAATAAACCTCCTCTGCATACATTTGAGAGGACCCGTTTATAACAAATCTACCAGCCTCCATGCTACAATGAACTGTAACCAAGCAAATGGATACCTGAAGATCCATCATGGCCATGTATCGCTGTAAAGGAACTTGGTATTGACGAAGGTTGTGCATTAGTTTCTTCTCCTGATAACCCAAAGCATATTAAGTTAAACAAAAGTTAACTGGAAAGAATTAAAAAGGATATGATGATGGATTTCAACCATTTGCATTGTCATAAAAATGGAAATTAAAAAAACCTGAAGCTCCTGAGTTAGGACTGCTGGAGGCAGAAGGCCTCGCAAATAATGAGCATCTCTTTCTTTTTCAGTAAAGGCAAGTCCCTTGTTGTGGTGTGGGTCTCGCAACAAAGTATATCCACTGCAATGTGTGAAGCAGAAGATATGAAACTGGGGTGATTAACAAACTCTATAAAAATTTAAGACCTTGCATCTACCAAAACGAAAGAAATGACAATAGCAGAAAAAATGAGAAAGACCAAACAAACAAACAAAAGAAATGACAAAGCTAAAGGTCTTTTTCCTTTTTTTTTTTTATTTTGAATCTGAAGTAAAACTCTTCAAAAGCAATATTGTAATTTGTCCATCAGAACAACAAGATTCAGTTTGAGATAAATTGCGTTTGTAAAATAAAGAATCATCATAAAGACAAGGTTCTGTTTGTTCATCTAATTGTACTCAGCTTTTTTATAATTGTGCGTCATAGAGTAGCAATTTTGTTCTGCTACTAAGTCCTGCATATCCCACCATTCTCTCCATAAAAGAAGCAATTCAAAAGATTTGAAGAAGCCATTTCCATATATATATATCGAATCCTAGGATTACTAATGTTAATATGATAATATCTTAAAGATTATATAGTTTATTGTGCCTTTCAAATAATGTAAAACTGCTCTGGATAAAAATTGACACCATCGAAACATAAGAAGATCTTATCATCTCAAATCTTGAACATCAACGGAATGTGAATCCAATTTGATAGAATGGTAAATCTTGAACAGAAAAATAAATACAATACAATGTGAATCCAAGTTAAAAAAACAAATCTGTGAAAGAATTTCTAGCCAAGAAAATAGTGGAAATGAACGCGAACACTTTTCACAGCAAGGTGCAAAAAAAATCTAAAAAGCTTCCGTTCTAGAATTCATTTAAAAAACTCCATGAATTACATTTACAACGAAGATGATGAGTTAAAAACATAAAATCCTTAGTAGATCATTTCACCACAAAATGTGAGAGATAAAGAATAAAAAGAAAACCGGATTAGCCAAACTCCCTATTCTATTTTTATTACTATTAGATATAAAGTTGTGGCAAACTGATTACCTAGCAACAGAGGCAGTCCATGGAGTGAGAAGCTGATCTAACGTGGCAAAATCCTCACCATAGACGTCCTCGACACCACCACCTGCCATGTTATCCACCACTAAGAAATCACCACCATTCACCATTGTAGTCTCCATTAAAGCTGAAACCTTTCTCTCTGCTCTACGCAACAACAAACTCTGCAAAAAGACCAGCTTAAAGAACAAACGGCAGCAAGAAATGGGCAAAGGAAAATGAAAGATTTTTTTGATGAAACGGAGGAGACAAGGCGGTTTATATAGGACTACCAACGGAAACGAAGAAAGAAAGTTGAAAAATGTGAATTGTTGAAAGTTTGACAAGAAAGTTCCAATGTCAAAAAGGAAGAACCACGTGGACTAAACAAAATTTATTAAAATAAAATAAAAGATTATTAAGTTCTCGGTACGGTACCAGAAAGCTGTGTCTTGCAAGTGAAATCATGGTATAATTGGAAGAACGTGAAAAGACTGCAACTCCATTAATATTGGCCGCGTTTTCATGATGGTCTGGTCCGCCTTTGTTGAAAATGAGAGATTGACATTCTCTTTTCTTTGAAGGGGTAAAAGGAAAAATACACAGTGGCATTCCATCTGTAGATTTTTCCAGTGGGAAACTAACCCACTAAAATCCAAACGAGGAGTGAACAGAATCAAATATTTTTCTTCCTCAAGACTTCTCTTTTTCTTCAATTAAAAGTAGTAGTAATTAATCTAATTAGTTCTAATTAATCTAGGATGTGTGTCATGTGGGATACCCAATTTTTAATCAAATAATCAAATGATGAGAATATCTGAGAATGAAATGGAGATCCTAATAAAATTAAGGAGAATGAGGACATCAATAAATTTGAAATTTTAAGGTATTTTGCAGGGTTTATATTGTACAGGACACGTGATAAATGAAGAGAAAATTACTCTCCTAATCCAAATTATTCTTGTTAAATCTTAGGGGGCCTTAATACTTTAATAGATGTAAGAAATCTTGGTAGATAATGCGAGCTAATTTTGTTTTTACTTCAAATAAGTTCATAATTAAGTTTATTAGTATTAATAATTTTGTAACCCAACTTAATTTAAGATTCCAAATCCAATCCAAATAACGCCCTCATTCTATTTAAAGCCCAAACGTCTCTTAGCTTGACCCAATTAATTTCTAGACCCAAATTAAGCATTTTAACCACAATTATTGAATAAAAATCCAACTTTTAAACCCAAAAGCCCATCGGCTTTTAACTGCCAAGCCTAATCCAGTTTGAGCCAGTGAAAAAATCCAGACACAATACCAAATAAGAAGAACTCAAGCCCAAAAAGCCCATTTCTATTCTTTTAAGAAACAATGTCGTATTTTCTCAAAGTTCCCAAGACTTGGCTTTTCCAGCCTTCTTCATGAGCTTTCCTTCCTCTACTCGCAAAACCAGGGAGCATGGTCCTACCATGATTGAAAGTAAAGAAAGGGAAGGGGAGATTGGGAAAGGACAAGAATCATAGACGAAGAGAGGAGAGAGGCTGATAGAGAGATATAGAAAGTAGAAGGGAGGTTAAAGTGATGATGAGTCAAAGACAGAGAGACACGACTAAGGGAATTAAGAAAACAAATTCTGGGGCTTCAAAGAACAAGAGGGAATAGATTTAGGCTTTGAGAGGAAAAGAAGCTGAAGATAGTGAGGAAAAGAAACTTTAAATACGAATGATATATGACATTTGACACTGGAGACTGAACCTAGTTTCTAGGTAGTTATTTCCATTAATTTCTTTATACTTTCTCTTATTACTTTTTGGTAGAATATAGAAGAAACTGTATGTATTGATTTTGATTTTGATAAGATGAGAAAATCTCATTTAATCCATTTCTCCCAAATAATGTCTTTTGTAGGAAGAAACCCAACAAAACAGAGTACATACAATAATACATATTTTACATAATATTATAAAGAAATTGTATATAAAGTTGATAAATATTCTAATCGTTAATTCATTTCTAGTGAACATTGTCCGATGGGATTTAGAAGAATCTCCTTAAATACATAAAAAGATGAAATCCTAAGCAGCGTGTTGGAAAAGAAATTTCTAAAGATGAAAACTACAGGAATGTTAACATCTTATGTCTGGCAACAGAAATGAAAAACAAAGGCTCTTTTCAGTTGTTGCAGTACAGACTGTAAAATTTTAAATTTCCAAAATTTAGAAGCTCATTTTCTTCCATTAGTAGTTTTCCTCTAGTAGCACATCGTATTGATACAAAGGACCCGACTTTTTCATAAGTTGTATTTCGTAGCTGGTCATCCAGAGTACCACTAAAATCATCTAAAAAATTATCAGGAATAATGATCCAATATTTACAATACCGTTTCATAGAGGCAAAACATTTTCTTTTCCTTGCTGCAATATGGTGGATGCTCTGGCCAGATCTTCTGTAATGTATAACTTTACAAGGATGCCAACCTTCTTCGATCCATGGCATGCATCGAAATGGATTAAGTATGGTAAACTCAGCAAAATGCCATACCAAAAATGTCTTTGCTTTCACCAACTTGCAACTGGGATCATGTTAACTATGCTGATGCAGGTCAATTGTATGCAAATTGCAACTACGAAAATCTTGCATCAAAATCTTGAAATGGTTTGATGAGCTCAAGAAATGATTGGATCTGCCTCATAACTCAACTTCGGAAGCGGATCAACCCTACGAATAAGACAAACAAAATTAGCCCATGGAATCAGACTGCATGCCACCACTTCATAAGATTAATGGAACACAAGAGACAACCCAAAAAAAAAAAAAAAACAAAATGAAAGAGAGAAATCCACCTTCAGCTTATGATCTATGATCAAATTACAATTTAATTCTCTACTTTTTGGATTGATCAATCAAAATCAGGCCCTCAATCTTTAAAGAATTATGCATGCAACTGTTAGCCAAATTGTTAACCCGCAAAATTATGCATGCAACTGTCTGCCAAATTGTGACTAGGCAGATGCATCATTAAAGTTTATGTGCGCCATAAAAATAGCAAAGCCTCTTTTTTTCTCATATCCTGGTGGTAACACCAACACATGATTTCTCAGAAGAGAAAAGAGTTTGACTGTTTTGATCTCATATAAGCTATACAATACTTGATGGCACAGCCCATATATGCTAGCCACATAAGGTTTTTGTTTTCCTTTGTAACTATTAGGTAATAGGATATAATTGGAAGTAAACTGAAATGTTGAACTCATACTTTATAATTTAAAAGTTGATGACGAATTTAAAATTGGATTCAAAAGTAAACATTATGGTATGCAGTTTAGCTGATTGTAACAGGTCCAATATCCTATGGTAAAACATGCATAAAGCATATTAACTCTAAGATACTGGAACATGACGCAGATGAAATAGACAGATGAACTAGACATAAGGTGCATCAATTAATAATTTTAATAATTTCCCAATATAAGGATCGTCATCACTTGCATCAAACCTTTGCATAACTTTGAGTACTCCTGTGCCCATCTGCATCGGGATGCCCATAATGATGCATTCACTTACTCCCTCAATTCGGTCAACCTTCCCACTGACTGAAGCATTGAATAAATGATCTGCAGTCTTCTCAAACGAAGCAAGCATCAAAACACTTTTGTCCATTTTCTGAATACCAAATCTTGTGATTCCAAGAACTTCACCCTACAAAATATCCAAATATAATTAGGCATCCTCCACATAACAAAATAAATTAAGCAAAGAAAACTTTCCTAATTGTTCGTCCAAATTTCAGGTAAGAAATTTGAAAAATTTTACAGACAGGTACTTACTCTGAAAGTCATGAGATCTGCCAAAAGCATCATATGGCGTATATCTATGGTCATTCCATGATTTCCCATTACATCCTTTATCTCGTCAATTATGCAGTTTCTTGCTGCCTCAATCCCTAGTGTCTGTTGCACTTCCATGACATGGTTACTCTTTGTGTTACTTCCATCAATTCCATCAGTTCCCATAACTGCTTGGAGGCCTGTCCTGAAAGATGGGATAGGCCAAGGTTTATGACTCAAGAGTTCAAAGTTAAGTTTGGGAAAATATTAATGGTACTAAGATTTAAGCATTCCACAAAAGCAAGTGAAAAAGATGCATTGGACAAACTAATTGAAGAATAGCTTGTCCATTATTACTGAAAAAGACTAAAAAATAACTAAATCTAATCCCGTCACGGGAAACTAACCCCTCAACCAACAATTGCCACTTTTGTCCTGCTCCTTCATGCTCCTTCTTCTTTTCAGCAACAACAACACGTTCAATAGTTCTTATACCCTGTCATTCAAAGACAATGAAATGAGAACACAAAAAGCCAACCACTGCAACGGAAAGACAAAGATGTTGCAGAACAAGCAACTAAAAATTACTGAAGATGAATCTCACCTGCACTGTAACAGCTGGAAGCGAACTTTTTAATGCATGGAGCTCGAAATGAAATTTACTTTTATCCGCATCTGGTAAAACTCTTAACTTTTTAATGTCCAAAACTTTAATATGCTGCATATTACAGAAACCTGGTACAAGATTAGGATTTGCTACCAGCATCCAAATTTGGTAACTAGAATTAAGATTTTTCACCTTTTCCTTCAGTTTGATTCTTGGTGTTCGCAGAATTGATTCTTTCACGCTGTTAGCATCTATACACAAACCTGCTTTATAAATTCTTTCCATGTCGAGCACAATAACTATCGATGCTGGTTTTGATGCTGATGAGGTCATTACAATCTCAATCCTCTCTGCAACCTACATCATAGGATCAAAAGGCTACTTGAAAACAGAACCAAAAAGTATGGTTGCACCAAAAGAGCTAGGGTACCATTTCTTTGGATTCAACTCATATAGGTTTTTTCTCTAGCATGTTTTGTAATAAAAGTAATAAAACTTTTGGTTTACTAGAGAAGTTATAAGTTCGTCTAAACTCATGCTTAACTTAAGAAGAAGCCAAAATGAGTTCTCAAGACAAGTAGACCAATCATCTCAAAGTTTTCAGATCAATGTTGGACTTTTTATACTTAAGATGAGTACAAAATACTTCTAGCTTACATATTGAAACAATCCCATGAAGAAGTTATCAGAATTAATAACGTAAAGAATAGACACACTGTAGAATATGAAAAACTAAGTTAACCACGTACCTGGCCTAAATTTGTCTTTTCAATGCGATTTTTAACCTTCAGTGCAAGCTTACCATCATTATCATGCTCGAGTTCTGCTGTAATGATAGGTGTGCTAATCTTTTTGGCCCCATTTATTATTTCCTTGATACGAGGAACTCCTTGTGTTATATCTGATGCAGAGTTAGGAATATAAACTGGACAACTAGAAATGACCAAAGGTTACAGAAGTGATCTCTAAAAGAATAAGGATACTCATGCTTGCAACGCCAGCAAAATGGAAGGTTTTTAATGTCATTTGCGTCCCAGGTTCTCCAATACTTTGTGCTCCTATTGCCCCAATTGCAGTCCCAGATTCAATTTTTTTTAAATGATAACGAGATATGCAAATTTCAACAAAAACCTACAATAAACCAAAGGAAGCATTTTTTTTTCTTTTAATCAGAAGGATGCTATAAATAGAACACGGACAAATAATTAGGATACAAATGACCTAGGGGAACATAACTGGCAGAAATTATTTTCACTCAATTCCCAATAATTGAAAAGCAATTGTTGGATACAGATAAATGGCAATCAAGTATGAAAGTGGTGGTGTAGAGAAAGGAAGGAATTCTTCTAAAAAAGAATATCATAACCTTTGCAAGTTCTCATTCAAGAAAGAAGTTAAACGTGCAGAAGAATATGCATCATATGTAATGGACACCACAAAGAAAACAAAAAGAAAAGAAAAACAAATAAACAGAGAAGAAAAAGGTTATGCAGCATTTTACAAATGTTTAGTATTGAAACTATACTCTGAATGCTACCTTTAGCTTGGCAAACTGTCATTTATTGGTAGATAAAAGGCATCTTGGGTGTGAAGTGCTCTTAACCTCTTGACTTGTTGCCTTTCTAACTTATTATTGTCAAATGTTGGTTTATACTATACTCCATTGGTAGTTTTCTTCTCTTCTAAAAAAGGACATATTTTCACTAGTTCCTAAGTAAACTAAATATACTTAAAAATGCACAAAAGTACATACACAGTTAACTCTTAAAATTGGAATATTTCATTCTAGATCAACCTGTTCTACATCACTAATCTAGACAATGGTAGAGAATTATGAACCTGGGGTTATGTTGTTAGGGTATTTCCTATTACATCTGTTATATTTTTTTTGAAATACACATCTGTCATTATGGTTCTAGTCCTCCATTGTCAATCTATTTTGTCTATTTTTCTCTTGTCCTTAACCTTAATTCCCAATTTCCTCTAGTTTTTCTCCTACTCTTTAATTCCCAATGCATAAATCTACAATTATTTCCTATTACTTCTATTTTCTTAAACCTGATCTTTTTCAAATTTTGTGCTATTCATGGACAAGTTAATTTCAAGCTCTATTTATCCTACATCAACAACATTTCCCATCATAGCAAAAGTGAGGGAACCTTTATTGTAATAAACATTAACTAATGGATTTTCGGTTGTCTTGTTGTTGCACCCTTGTGCTTCAGAATGTTAACTTTTCAAGTAAAGAAGAAGACCTTAATTAGAGAGGAAGAGAATACAAGGAGGGTAAGTTACCCTCCTAAAAACTGTAAAAGAACAAACCAAAGAACATAATTGAAAAAGAAAAAGAAATGTTGATGAAAAAGAACTGCATAATAGAAAAAGGTACCCAGAAAAGAGCCATGTGCCTTACACACAGGGAAGTCAGGAAATTGGGATACAATGGTGTTTCTGGCTTCTTCATGAGCTGAGGCACATGAATTTTTCAGGAATATACCTCTGTCTAATTTGGAAAGGAAAAGTGACATGTGCCTTAAACACAAAGAAGTCAGGAAATCGGATATGACAGGGTTTCTGGCATCTTCATGAGCTAAGGCATGTGAATTTGTCAGGAATACACTCTATCTAATTTGGAAAGGAGCTGAGAGCCATTCTATATCAAGGACTTTCTGTTCTCTTCTCTTGTTTTCTCTTGTTCTTATTGTAAGATGATATACTTGTTGATTTTTGGAGAGAAAAAATATTAATTTTATTTCTCACACCCTTTATGTTATTACACTTAAAATATTTATAAAATTTCTAACATACTGATAAGAAAATTCTTATTCTACTAGAATTCTAATTATATAATGTTATTATTCTCATAAAATTCTAATTATATAATATCAGCTAATTAAAATAATTAAATAATAAACTATCATAATCAACACTACCCCTCAAATTGGTGCAGCGATATCATATATGCACAACTTGCAAACCAAGTTATAAAATGGAACCAGATCTGTCAGGCACAGCTCCGCTCGGCAATGACGCGAGTTAGATCTGTCTGGCAGCGGCTCGACTCGGCTCAGATATGTTCGAGGTGGTGATGAGAGTAGATCTGGATAAATGGGTTCTAACCTAACCTATTATGCTATTTTAGGATTTGAAAGAAACTGTGAAATTAAATCCTAAAATAGTTTCATTTGATTCTAAGGCCATATTGATTTTGAAGAGAAAAAATATTAAATTTTATTTTTCACAAATTTTATATTATTACATCTAAAATATTTATAAAATTTCTAACTTACTGATAGAGAAATTCTTATTCTATTAAAATTTTAATTATATTATATTATTATTTTCATAGAATTCTAATTATATAATATCAACTAATTAAATAATAAACTAAAATAATTATTAATAAACTATCATAGTCAACAATATTATAAATTATCCTCTTTTGCTTCTTAATTATATTTATTCCTTAATTGAAAAACAAAGCCAAGATAAACATTTCATTCCAGAGAAAACATAGTGGTCAAATATGCTGATAAAAATTTCTGGAGTTGCACTACAACCACTATGACCCAGCAATGAGCGAAATGTGCACCCCTGAAAAACCACTATGCTCCTTGCTCTCCACACAACAACCCTCACAAACTGCTTCAGAACATTCTGCCTTCTGTTTCACCAAATGTATTAAATGCAATATTCGTTTTGCTAATTTTAGAAACTATTCAAGCTATGACACATCATCAAGCTTGCCTTGACAACTCTGTAACATCTAGCCTCACAACCAGTAAACTATTAGATGAAATTCTCAACTCTGAGATCTGTCATGGCTAGCAATAAATATTAGGCTTGCTAAAGTTTTTAGAGTATGGCTAAATAGAGGAACATGAGGGAAAATGGCAGAAGAAAATGATTGTCAGTTCCTTCTCCTTGTTTGAGAGTGTTATCAACTGAAACTGGAAAAATGAACTGTTACTTACGGACCCTCCATTTCCCTACCTATTGAGAATTCAGATTGGGGTTAGAGTCATAGCAAATTTAAGTGCACCAGTGGAATGGTAATGCAATCACCAACCCAAATCTCACCCCATTTCCCTATCTATTGCTTAGGAGTTTATCCAATGAGGGGAAAGGAATGGATTGGAGAGTTAATTTTCAACCCTCCATTTCCCTTTCAAATTGGTATGCCTTTTTTGAATTTCCCAATTTGGGTAAAATGGAGAAAAATTAAAGAAAAGACAAATTTCCTAATTTGTCAACTCATTAAACAGGACAAAAAATGTGCCCCTAAGCTAGGCCTAGTTTGATACTCCAAGCCAAGTTGGGTCAAGCTGGCCCAAGACTGACCTGGATTGGTCAGGGCCATAACTATGCCCTGGTTCAGGTCGAGATCATACCAGCAATTGAGCCAGAGCAGAACTGTGAATTGAGTCACGTCTAGACCAGAACTAACTCGGACTATAACCTAATTCAGGTTAAGACCATGCATCAAATTGAGTTAAGCCAGAGCTGCGACTCGAGTAAGATCTTTTCATATTTAAGTTATCAAATAATGAGAGGGAGTCTCTCCTTTCTTTTTGTTGAATATTATATTTTATTATTTAATTAGTTAATTATTTAATTATTTAGTATTATATAATTAGAATTTTATGAGAATAATATTATCATATTATTAGAATTCTATTAAAATAAGAATTTTCTTATTAGTATGTTAGAAATTTTATAAATACCTTAAGTATAACAATCTAAAAAATGAGAAATAAAATTATATTTTTTTTTCAAATTCTACATGGTATCAGAACAAAAATAAGGGTATTTTAGAATTTTTAATTTCAGAGTTTCTTTCAAAACCTTAGAATATTCTCACCACCCAGCCAAACAGAGTCTTAACCTCACTGGCGGCCTGTCACCCTGTTCCAGTGAGCGTCTCCGGCCTACCCGATCTCTCTGCTCCGGTGACACTCAGCTGTTCGCACTACTTCCTCGCACACAGCCTCTAGTTTGTAGTATTTTATTCTCTGGCTCCCTTGCACGCAGCAACTGGTTAGCATACAACCACTGATTTGACCCCTGCCTCTTTGCACAGCTTCTGATCCGCGATTTCCATTGTTTCTGCTTTCCGGCTTCAGCTTCCTGGTGCATCTGCGTCTGGCTTTAACCAGAAAATATTGGTTCCAGAGGCTTCCTAGTTGCCAATCAGCTTGCTTCGGTTCTGCCTCCGACTAGATCGGGGAGAACAGAAGGTCTGATCTGATTGTTTTCCGGTTTTGCAAATCGGATCCAAATCTGCACAGCCACTGATGCACGACACGGCGGAAGAAGAACATCAGCGTCAGGCCAAGTCAGTTTTGTCAGGAGGAGCTGAGCCCGAGCTGTTTTTGAGCCGACTTCAAGCCTTTTTTTGAGCTGTTTTGAGCCAAGTTGACTTGCTACCTTGCCAGACAAATCTGCTTCTTCCGCGCACGAGCCGCTATGACCAACCTTCTTTGGTCCCTTTTTGGCTTCCTTGAGCGTGGCCGCCTCTGATTTCGCGACCAGGCCTTTTTCGCGCGCAAGCCGCTTTGACTAGCTTTTTCTGGTCCTTTTTCGGCTCTTCCACGCATGTACATCTCAGATTTGCAACTTGATATTCAAGTTAGACATATGCGATATCCCTGCAACAACTTGAGGAGGGTGCTGAATAACATATTTTATTATTTAATTAGTTAATTATTTAATTATTTAGTATTATGTAATTAGCATTATATGAGAATAATAATTTTATATTATTAGAATTCCATTAAAATAAAATTTTTCTTATTAATTTGTTAGAAATTCTATAAATTCCTTAAGTGTAATAACCTAAAAAATGAGAAATAAAATTATATTTTTTTTCTAAATTCTACACTTTTCAATCCCCTCTGTATTCTTTTCTTTCCTTTCCCTTTCACCTCCCAAATGGGAAATTGTTATAATACATAACAGAGGAGGGCGTGGGACCCGCAGAAACAGCAAAAGATAGGAATTTTTAAATCTACAATTGAGTAGGAAGTTGGTTTCCCCAAAGGACTGATAAAAAATAGAATCTTTTAAGAATTTCTACTAAGTATTTAGATTTAGATTAAGAAATTAGAATAAAACTAGTACTATTATTCCTATAATTATAAGTAGCTTTAGATTAGGAATTAGAATAAAAGATGGACTATGATTCAAGAAATTGTAAGATGGACTATGATTCAAGAATTAGAATAAAGAAGTACGTATATTAATCCGTATAGTTGGGAAGCAAAGCTTCCTTGCCTTGGGACTCCACATCGGAAGGCCCCTTGATCAGATCCAAAACTTGGGACCATGAGAAATCTGTATAGGAGCCGATCATCATAGAAGATTTCAAAATTTTGCAACAATTTGATACATAAATGAAGCCCACACACTCAAGAGAGGGATCGTTCCCAATTTAGAAGTTACCAAGAGGTTCGTGCCCGCTCAAAAGAGAGGGAGTGCAGGCTTACCACTCAAATTGAAAACCTCTCCAGAGAATTATCAGCAATAAGGAGAGACTACCGACACAACCAGGTTGACAAAAAGAAAGGACAAGAAGCCAACTGACTCCATCAACATTATAGATGGGGGAAGTACAGTGCTGCAGTTGGCAAGGTTAGACTTTCTCAATGTTATAGCTTAGCTGATCCATTGGAATGGACCAATCGGTGCAAGCATTCCTTCTGACACTAAAAGACAACCAAAGAAGACAAGATGGGCTTAGCCTTTTTCACCTTGAAGAAGATGCCGAAGTATGGTTTCTGAAGTAGGAGCAAGACCAATCAAAGTCCCTTGAAAGAATTTAAATCATATTGCCGCCTTAGATCCAATCTTCCAATATGCAGAAACAAACTTAAAGAAATAATTAAACTGAAACGTGAGAGAACAATTTCAAGCAACTTTCTGTGTGTGCAAACCCTCAGCACTGAGCAAGAAGTTGAAATCTTCATCATTGGGCTCCAAGAATATATTGTTGTTAAAGTCACACTACAACAACCATATGACTTTACTGCTAGTATGACGTTGGCAAAGCTCTGAGGATCAAAGAAAATCGGAGGATAGTACCATTGCTTATCAAGAAATTGAGCAGGGAAATTGCCCCAGGCTATGTGCATGAATTGTTATTTCCCTTGGAATTTGAACAAAATGAGGCAAGAGATAAAGAGGAAGCAAGGGATCAGAGGAAGGATGATCAAATATTTCACTCCAGTGCTTGTGGACAAGCTTCAAGTCGAAGAGGAGAAGAATGTCACAGTGCACCAAAAAAAGGGAGTGTTGGACCATGAAAGCAACAAAATAAGGGAATTTCAGTCTATAGGTCAGTAGAAAGTATTATCTCAAAAAAAAAAAGGTGAGTAGGAAGTTAATTTCTTTAAAGAAATAGTAAGAGTTAAATTCTTTAAGATTCTTATTAAATATTTAGATTTAGATTTTAGATTAGAAAATTGAAATAAAACTAGGACTATGATTTCTATAATTATAATTAAATTTATAATAGAAATTAGAATAGAAAAAAGACTATGATTACAAATTTTAATAGAGATCTAATTCAAT